ACTTAAAGATACTGCCAAAATTCATGTTTGAAATAAGAACTCCAGGGGCTCATATTGCTTGTGTTCAATACAAAGTCAAGCATTACTGCCCCCAAAATCCTTCTATATGTGCCAGAAAGCTTCCCTCCTCTGTAATCACTGAACAATGACAGGAGGATTTAATTAGAAATATCAGAAAACAATATCTTAGAGCCTAGCCTGTTATTTTTCTGTTTGATATCATGAATCAATGAAACTTCAAGATAAAATGAAATTATTCAACACGCTACTTCTGTGATGGAGCATACTAAAGGCTTTCCTTACTGACCAGCCAAACCAAATTTCTCATCACCACTGGCAACCCTATCTGGACCACCATTGTCCCATATAGTCTGGGAGCTCGCTGTATGCCCTTGGGTCAATCATCTCTCACCTGAAGTAACTTAGAGAAAAGGTATAGTACACAGAAAAAATTGATAGCTCTGACTTTAGATTTCCTAGTATTTCTAGTGGAAAAAATCAACATCCTTTCTCTACAGTCTCTAGATTCGACAACAGAAAGACAAAGTCAACAACTCAAGTGTGGCATAAATTAGACTGAGCTGTTGGTATGAGAAATCTTGCAATAAATCAACATTTTAAAAAATTCCCAAGTATTTCTAGGTGCTAAGCAAAAATTTAAACAAAATTTAACACCAAGTACAATTTGAGCACAACATTATAATGACTAGTTTAAAATCATTAAAAGGAAAAATATGTTTCCTCAAAGCACAAAAGCATTTTAATGGGTTAGAACGGATAAAAGGAAGTACTTCTTCACCCAAAGAGTGATTAACACATGGAATTCACTGCCACAGGAAGTGGTGGGTGCTACAAGCATGGACGGCTTCAAAAGGGAATTAGATAAGCATATGGAGCAGAGGTCCATCAGTGGATATTAGCCACAAGGTATAGCTAGGGGCTCTGGGGCAAGTGATGCTCTGTCTTCTTGGTGCTTGGGGGGGGGGTCAACAGTGGGAGGGCTTCTAATGTCCTGGCCCCACTGCTGGACCTCCTGATGGCACTGGTATTTCTGGTCACTGTGTGACACAGAGTGTTGGACTGGATGGGCCTTTGGCCTGATCCAACATTGGCGTCTCTTATGTTCTTATGTTAACTCAAATGTTAATTTCCCTCATGATTTATGACCTACAACTACAAAAAAGGAGGCAATATAAATTCAGTCACTGTGGGAGAAAAAAATACACCAACACTTATTTCAAGGGCAGATCTTTTTAACATGCTCACATATGAATATACTCATTTGAGAAAACAGTTAAAAGTAGCAAGCCATGTCAACCCAGAGATAAGAAAAGCTCTCATTTCATCTCAGCTTCTATCAAACAGGAAGCTGCTTGCATATCTGTTCACTTTTCCTTCTAGTGAAGAGCTAAAAATCTCTTTCAGTCACAATCATTGTTTGTGACTTCCTTCCCTGTTGACTGGCATCTCTACATGCTTTCCTCCCTTTATATCAGGTATACCTGTGAAGGGGGGAGCAGGGCTATGACCAGTGGGTGGTTGGTAGCCATTACCCACAGCTCACCATCAGCTCACTCTTAATTTATTATTTTCAACCCTTTTGAAGCTATTTGAGATTCTGAAGACATGCCTCCGAGGCAAAATAAGAAGGGGAAGCAGAAGGCAAAGCAAAAAATGCATAATATACCTTCTTTGACAGACTGAAGCTGGAACCTCCTCCACAATGGACTCAGGAAATACTGATAAGGAAGGGAATACTCTTACAACAAACTTTCTTTTAGAAGCCTTGGCTAAACAACAACAAGAGTTAAGAATAGACATTGTGGAAATGCTAAAACCAGCATTCCAGAATATGGATAAATTAGAAGAACAGTTTAAGCAAACAGCTGATAAAGCTGGAGAAACAAACTGCCTGTAACTCGTTCCCGTGAGCTGTATCTGAAATTCAGAGGATTTAAACCAAAGATTGAAGAATGGAATTTAAAAAAAATTATTGCTAATTGGCTGGTTGGCATTTTAAATCTGGAGGAAGGAGTGGTTCCTTTAATTCAAAAGGCTTATTGGGTGGGCAGACAATGAGAGGAAACTTCCGTTTATTATCAAGACGTTGTAGTTTTCAAGGACTTCAGAACCAGACAATGGGTATTAACACAGGCAAAAGGGGAAAAACGGTTTGGAATATCAAGATGTAAAGATACAGGTGTTCCCTGATCTTCCACCAGAATTTCTTAAGAAGGGAGTTGAAACCAATTACAACTAAACTCTGGGAGTTAGGCATCAAGTATCATTGGCTGAATACAGGCAAACTCTGTGTGGAATATAAGCAGGTGATTTACGCAGCTTTTGACCATGCATCAGGAGAGCAGTTGCTGGCTGTTTTAAATAAATCACCAGGTGAACTATGGGAGAACACAGACAACAAAGGAAAACAAGACCACCTCCCACTCTGTTTAAGGCAACCAGAATCCATCATTCTGAAGATCGAGAAGAGTTGGATAAACATATGGACTCCTTTTAAACAGCAAGCATTCATGTTTTTTCTCCGAGGACTGCCCTTGTTATATCTGAAGTAGGGCAACCGGGTAGCCGCGAGTGGATACGGGTATGTGCCATCCCTTTAACAGTCCTTGGGTGAAAGGTTAAGTCCTTTCGGTCCATGGGTCTCCCTTGGACTGAACTCAGGTTCAAAGAATAGAGTAAGAAGTACTACGATTGGTTTTGAGGCTGTGTATTTTGTTTTACTTTTGTGGTTATGTTGAAAAGTTTTGCTTAAAACACTTAAAATGCAGCATAGGTTAATACTGAGAAGATGGAAGAACTGAAGAAATAGAAGAAAGAAAAGAAGCTTTTATTGTAGATTATTAAAACAATTAAAATGTATATGTACATCTATCAAAAACAAAAGAACTGTGATGTAACAAGTATGTATATATTACTAGCTAAAATTATAATCTTTATTTGTAATTCAGTTCTTCAATAAAACAAAATGCAAAAAAGGTATACTTGTGAATATGAAGGAACTAATAAGATTATTCACTATCTTTAAATAGCTGATCAGCATTCTCTGACAAAGTGAAACAGAAGGAGGAGAACATGAAAGCTTAATACAAAACTTGGATCTATCTGCACATGATCTCCGTTGAAATGGATCACAACATAAATTTGACATATCTAGCTGCTCATTTTTGAGAAAAAATAAGTAGAAAGTACAGGTCTGACAGTAGTCTCTGGCCCACAGTTAATCAAGCATCCTGAATTCCTTGACCAGAGCCAAACCACTGTCTCTAATTGTACAGAATTATCTCTGTGTAGGAATAGCTAAGAATGGGAAAAGTTGTAAGATAATTATAAATACACAAGCTGAGAAATTCCCACACATACTAGCTACCCAACCAAATTCAGCTAAAAGAAAATTACAGCGCACACTGCAAGTAACAAGGCACACCATGCAGATATTAAGAAAAAACATCATGAAAAGTCCTATCAACAGCCATTGCTTACAGCCCAGCAGGGTTGAATTTCAAAGTCTGCTGTCAATGCCATCTCTCATCCCTAGTGTAAAGGAAGAAGGAAAGGCATTGTCCACACGACTTAGAAGACTAAGCATAGCTACAAGTGTGTACGTAGGGAGAAAGGTATCCAGGTTACTACAAAGGCAAAGAGGCTACTGTGCATTTGCCAATTCACTGGGGAACATTATGGCGTCACAACAGCTGCTCCCGTGGAATTACAGGAACAGCTGTCCAGCTGTTACAAACTAGCCAAAACGAGAGAAGACAGCTGGATAGCTGCAGCCGACTGGAGGTCCCGGGGGGCGAAACAGCGTCCCGCAACTCTCCCACCCCGCACAGGAACTCACCGGGAAGAGTTTCGCCTCTGAAGCGGCAGCCGGGCTCGGCCTGGCCCCGCCGCGAGGGCCACGCAACAGCTAGTCTCGACCCTCGGAGCCGCCCTCACAAAGTCGTTAACAAGAGCCCAACCAACACCAGCAGCTCCTCAGCTCTATTCCCCCCCAGCCAAAGAACCAAGGCGAATGTCACGTCACCACTTCACGGAGCCTACGGAGTTACCATTTTACTTTAAAAAACAACTTCCGCTTCCAGGGCATCTCCGTGAGCCCGCCTACTTCGTGTCAGCCGTGAAGAAAGAATCATGGTGGATAGCCCACACTTCAGGTTCTCAGTCGAAAACGCCCATAGAAAGAGGAGGAAGGACATAGGATTCTACGTGAACAGGCTCTGAAAGTAAAATCCCGCTGCTCAATGGGGATTGAGGCTAAAGTGGATGATTAATACCATTTCCTGTCAGAATTAAGTGGGAAGATTGTTGTTGTTTTTAATATGAGGGGGTATCAGCTGAAAGTTTATTGGAGCATAAGCTAACATTATAAATTCAGTGTTGGACTTCAGCTGGGGAGAGCTTTGCTGATGCATTTCTGGTCGTTTTACAGGTTTTTAAACTAGGGGGTCCCTGTTCCTACCTTCAGTTATTATTTTTCCAGAGAGGGTTTGATAATTTCCAAGAGCTGAAGCAAAGGTAGCCTGTAAATCAAGCGGGAGTGGAGTGGGGGGAGTGAACCCTGCTAGGGATAAAGGTCACTGGTCTGGCTCTATAGTAATTTGAGTGGCGGTTTTATTCTTTCATAGAACAGCCATGACAAGAAATCTTTCAATGAGAAGAACTCTCTACCCTCGACTACTTTATTTGATAATTTTGGGTTTTATTTTCGGTTTTCCATGGTTTTGCTCCCCATCTCGGTAAATCCTACCAGCCACGCTTTGGGTACAAGCTATCGCTGCATATGACGGCTCTGAAAGGGGCGGAATTCTCTTCTCCGTGCTATCCCGCCATCCTTACCAGGGAACCCTGCGGGTAACTTTTCGTATAGGCAGAACAGAGAACTCCTCGCATGCGCAGACAGACAAGAACACTGCTCCCGTGATTTTCGTAAATCCCGCCTTCGGGCTGATTATGCAGGGAAGGCTGGGTTTCCAAGCATGCGTAGTACGGACAAGTAGATAAGGATGGATTTTTCCTCCGCTCGCTTGGCTATTTTGAAGGTGCTGGAGGGTGTGCGCGCGGAAGAGGTGCCCCGCCTATTGCATTGGATGAGAACGACCAGTAAGCGACGTTTCTCCTTTCTTGTTTCCGTGTTTACCTGTCACAAGTGTTTGGGGTTAGGTACTCGGAATTCGTGTATTATTATCTTTTATTGCTGCTATGTAACTTGAATAAGTTTTAAACTATCTATGTTTTATGTGTCTGTAGTTTATCCTGATGCTGCTACTTATATTTGCTGGCATGTTTTATAAGGTATTTTGTTCTAAATTGGGTGGTTTTGTTCTCTTGTTCGCCAGCTGGACACTTTTTATTTCATTTGGAAGGCTGGGAAACGAATGTTTTTTAGACCAATCCTAAGCAGACCTACTCAGAAGGAAGTCCCATTTTATTTAATAGGGCTTGCTTCCCAAAAGTTTACTTAGGATTGTAGCATATAAGTAGATCTAGAGGTAAAATTGGAGGAGACTAACGAGAACTGTTAGCCTTGCAACTGATAAAGCAAGAGAACATAAGAGCTTTGCTGGGTCAGGCCAGTAGTCTACTTTCCCTTGAGGGCCAACACACAAGGTATAGAAACCAAAGTCTTACCTTGCTTTTGCCTCCTAGCACTGCTGTTCAGAGGCTTGCTGAGTGGAGGTTCCCTTTACTTAGTGTGGCTGGCAATGAATTATTTAATTTAAACATACATTAAGTAAAAAAGGATTTCCTTTTGTCTTTCTTGAATCTATTGCCCATCAACTTCATTGGGTGCTACCCTGCCCAGTTGACGTGAGGGTAGTTAAAATCACCCATTATTAAAACCTTTTCCACTTTGGTTACCTGTCTTATTTCCCTCTCCCTTTTGAGATCTGCTTCATGGTTTTGATTGGACAAGTGATAAGGAATGATTTAAACCATTCTGAAGCATGTCCCTTACTACCAACTTTCACTTCTAGATGCCTCAACAGAATACGATTACACCTTTTATTCGGGGCGCCACAGATCATGGTCGCGAATTGACGTGATCTGGTTAAGTATGGGGATCTTAAATGACCTTAAAGAGGTAGAGATATTACCCTTGTCATATGCTGACCACAATCCAATGACTTTAACCTTACTGGATGTTCCTAAAACAGTATGCTGGAAACTTAACCCATTTTTGCTCAGAAGTGATCATTTTGCAAAAAAACCCAAAAGAAGTAATAGATGCCTCAACAGAATGGCACATTCCACTGTATTAAAGACTGCTGATAAATCCGATACAAACAAATGTGTGTAGTCCTTTTTCTATCATTTGTACTTCTGTAGTCATCTTAATGGCTCAATGCTGGTATTTTCCACCATCTCATATGTACTTTTCCCTGTATTTGAAGAAGGACATTGGCTTCACTGGTTTTACTACCTTAGATTTGGCAGACCTACCAATGTTCTTGAAATGGTCCAGCTTCTCTACAGGCAAGTTTACTGGTGCACAGTAGTGACTGGGGTTGTTTGCTGGCAGCTATATCCTGCCATCTCCATAGGACAGCTGATGGAAAATACTGGACTGTGGGTGAAGCTGGAAAATCAGTATGCCCTTTTTTTTTGCTTTTTCCATATGCTGAGTGTGAATCCATTGAGTGCTGACTTGCAATCCTTAGGCAATTTGCTGTATGAATAGATAAACAATATGGTTACTTCTATGTAGGTATGTATAATAACTTTTAAGTCCAAGATGCCAACAACATGCCTCTTACCAACATGGAAGAATTGAAAGAGTCATATTTTAGTGCATTTCTCAAATTTATTTGTATATAGTGTTAACATAATGAAATGAGTAAATTGTTACATTTCATAAGTTCATAGTCGTAAATGTATACATTTGTCAGCAAATATATTGATAGAAATTTTACTCACATACCTTTCTTTTACCATGGAACATAAAATGACGTACATAGATTTCCTACATGTCTCCTGTCCACTGTAAATATCACTAAAACTTAATACAGATATTTTGTGGGGGAGGGGGTTCTTAGCTGAGCCTGATACAGGTGTGGTGAAGGGGTGCCTAGCCCTTCCTGCCCTTGCTCTGATGCCTCTGGATAAGTTCTTTGGAAGCAAGATTAAATTGTCCAAGCATTACCTCTGTGTAACAATTCAAATACATGAATAATTGGTGCAACAAGGATTTCATTGCATACCCACAGTTAGAATATTTCAGACAGAAATAGAGAGTCTTCCTTTTCCCTCATGAAATAAAAGTGGGGTAGTAAAGGTAAAGGTTCCCTTGCTCGAAAGCCAGTCGAATCCGACTCTAGGGTTGCGGTGCTCATCTCCGTTTCAAAGCCGAAGAGCCAACGCTGTCCGAAGACGTTTCCGTGGTCATGTGGCCGGCATGACTAAACACCAAGGCGCACGGAACGCTGTTACCTTCCCACCGAAGTGGTACCTATTTATCTACTTGCAATTTCTTGCTTTCGAACTGCTAGGTTGGCAGGAGCTGGAACTAGAGACGGGAGCTCACCCCGTCTTGCGGCACCCGGGTCTTGAACTGCTGAACTACTGACCTTCCACAGCCTGCAGTTCAGCATCTTAACCACTTGAGCCACCGCAGCTCCTAAAAGTGGGGTACTATACGGCTTTTAGCAAATTATATAATTATACCCTTCTATCTTTAATCAGCTGCTTAGCAACGCTTGTGTAATTGGAGTGTTCTTCCTACATGGTCAGGGTGACATGCCAACTATACAAAACTGAACTATTCAATATGGCTTTTCTGCACAGGTAGTAGGATTGCACTGTATAAAAGGGGTTTACAAACTTGCTTGGATAAATGATTAGGGACTGTGGTCTATACTGCTGAGTATAGCTTACTGTAAGTAGGATCCTATTTGTGTAACTTCTGTACCAGTTAATGTGTCATATGAATACTTATGCAATGCTTCAATTCTTTCTGGTGGCTCCAGACTTCTAAAATCCTAATGCATTGGTTACTGAATGTCCCATTTTGTTGATTGTACTGACTCACTATGTGTAATCCACCTTGAGTCCCTGTAAATAAAAATAAATAAAAACGTAAATAAAAATAAATAAAAACATGTTAATTTAATATGTTTGATGGCTTGAACTTAATGTTTTTCTTTGTCGCTGTTTACTCAGAAGGTCTCATAGCCACTTACAACACTTGTAATAGGATCTCAAGTATTTTAAGTTGCCATGAGACCCTCTGGGAGTACAGCAACTAAAATGTAATGAATAAATTTTGTTTTTCCTTTTTTATTTACATTTTTATAGTCTGTGTTTTTTCTAGGACTGAATAGGTTACTGTAGTTTGTTAAAGAAATGAAGTATAGCTTAGAAACGTATCACTCCCACAATTGTGTGCTTTTATCAGTTGGCTACTTCTCTTTTAGGGTAGATATAATAAAGTGCTATATTCAAATAGAACATGTAAATGCTCACATGATAACATTGAAACAATTGACTATACAATTATGGAATGTTCTATATTTAATGAGCTGAGGGCTAAATTAATTACTTCTTTACTCAGAAATGAGGAAATGCCCACTGAGGCATCTGATAGTATGAGGGCAAGATGACATGGTTACTATTGGATATAAATGATTTTGTTACTCTGTGACAGAATTTATGGGAGCAATGATTAAACAACAGAAGAATGTCATAATTTTATTTTCTGCTCAAGGCTATCGCTATATAAGCAGTACTACGGTAGATGTCTGTCTGTCTATCAGTGGTGACCTGCAAAAAACTTGCATGGAAGGGGCATTCCCCCACCTTTGCTTCTTTTCCTCTCGTCCTTCTTCCCCTTTCTTTCTCTCCCCAACCCAATACTCCCTTCTTTCTCTTTCTCTCTCCTGGCCAAGCCAACTTTTCTTTCTCTTCTCCTCCCCCCACCATGCCAATACTACCTTCTTTCCTTTTCTCTCTCCTCCATGCCAATTCCCCCTTTTTTGTCTTTCTTTCTCCCCCCCAGCAAATCCCCCTTCTTTTTCTCCCTCTCCAAGCCAATCCCCCTTCTGTCTCCCCACAAGCCAGTACCCCCATATTTCACTTTCTCTCCCCCCCAGCTGATCCCCACTTCTTTCTCTCCCCTCAAGTCATTACCTCCATATTTCCCCTTCTCTCTTCCTCCATAGCCAATCCTCTCTTCTTTCCCCTTCCCTTTTCCCACCTTTAAGCCGGGCAGTGGTGCTGGCAGTGCCTGGAAGCTGCTCCAAGCCCAGGGCAGCTCCCAGTGGATTCCATGCCACTGTGGCTAGGCCCAGAGTGATTCCCAGTGTTTCATGCCACCATGGCTGGGCCCGGAAGCTCCCCTGGTGTTCTGCACTGCTGCAGCTGGGCCTGGAGCCTCTCCTGGAGTTTCACATTGCCACAGCCAGGCCCAGAGTGGCTCATAGTGTTCCCCACTACCACAGCTGAGCCCGGAGTGGCTCCCAGCATTCCCTGTTGTGGTGGGGCCTCGAGCAGCTCCATAGGAGCAAAAGCAGCAGCCGGGCCCTCAAAGGTCAAAGAGAGCCAGCTTGGTGTAGTGGTTAGGAGCACGGACTCTAATCTGGGAGAACTGGGTTTGATTCCCCACTCCTCCACATGCAGCTGCTGGTGTGACCTTGGGTCAGTAACAAGATCTTTCAGAGCTGTTCTCTCAGGAGCATTTCTTGAAAGATCCACATACCTCACAGGGTGTCTGTTGTGGGGAGGAGATTATAAACCGCTCTGAGACTCCTTCAGGTAGTAAAGGGCGAGGTATAAATCCAATCTCTTCACCTCTTCTTTTATTGGGGGAGGGGGGGGGGTTAAACCTCCAAATGATTTTTATTTTTTTTACTTCTGATATTTTTCTGCAAACCTGGGGGTGGTTACCCAAGTTTGCAGAAAAACCTATTTGGGGTAAGTGTGCCCCATATCTGAGGATTTAGATACCCACAGATGGGGGTGCACACTTGGGAATCTGTCTGATTCTCAACATGGCCTCATGTACGGATACTTATTTCCATAGATAGGGGGCACGTAGGGGGCAAAGAGATTTTTCTGCACACTTGGGGCACTCCCCAGGTGTGCAGAAAAATCATACATGTTTTTAAAGGTTTTAAAAGTAAAGACCATTCACTGTGCATGTGCAGAGAACACAACTTACTGAGGCTGTTCAGCCTCAGACTTCCCTAAGCCGGCGAGGCCGGGAACAAGAACGCCATGGCTCTCCACACCAGCGGGACCACAAGGGAGGCCACCAGAGCCATGGAGGAAGCTGCCATGGCAAGAGCCTTCCCTGGAGCTGTGAGTGAAACCATCACAACAGGAGCCCTCCTGGGAGCTGCGGGGGAAGCCATCACGGCAGGAACCACCCCCACCAAGGCCGTTGGCAGAAGCGAGGGCGACAGGAACATGGCTTCCAAAGCTGCCGACAGGGGAATCCATTGGTCTGCAGAAGAATGGCTTCTCCAGGCGGGCCGGTGAGGGAGGGAAGGTCAGCTGGCCCAACCAGAGCAGCTCCAGGAGAGCTTGCGAGGAAAATGAGGGAGGAGGGAAGCCTTGGCAGGGGTGGGGGAGCAGACAGAGAGAAAAACAGAATGCTGGGGAGGGGTGGTAGAAAGAATTCTGGGGTGGGAGGGAAGAAAGAGAGAGAGACATTGATGAGCAGAAGGACAGAAAAGAGAGAGTGATGGGGCAGAACGAGAGAGAGATTGGACTGGGGGCAAAGACAGTGACAGACAGTAAGAAAATGGGTGGCAGGGTGGAGAAGGCATGAGAGACACAGAAGTAAGGGCCAAGGGGAGGAAACAAAGGTGGGGAGGAAACACCCTCCCCGCAAGTTTCTTGTGGGTCCCCTCTTGTTAGATATATAGGTCCCACTGTCTTTCTGCATCTGAGATTAGGTTATTGCTTTATCTTGTTCAACCTCTGAAGAACCTGAGTATTACAGACAGTATTTTATATATTGGGATGGATGGTGAGAGTGAGTTTTGCTGTGCCTCAAGAAAGTATGTGATCCCATTATTTTTTGCCTCATTTTCCTAGCCTTCACTGGTTGTGGAGTGAAAGGATGGAAGGCTGAACCTTTACTATGTCTTTCCCCCTGTTAGTACAGCAGGTGTCTTGCACATGGATGTTCTGGGAAAAAGTGACACTGAACAGCTTTCTGTATAAAAGGAGGATTCTGGGGGAAATTTTAAAAAATATGTACCCAATCCTTTCAAACAAAATCCATGAGAACCAGGAGCTGTGTATGTGTGCTACCCTCAAGCTGCCAGCAAATACTGTCATGTAGAGAGCAGTGCCAGACCATCAGATTCTGTAGATCAATTAAACTGAAGGGGTTTGCCATTGCTTTCCCTGCAGGCTTGGGGCCCAAAGGTGAAGGAGACTTGGGCTTTTAAGACTAAAGCACATCCTGGGACCTCGAGTTCCCCACGCCCAAATCCTTTAAGCAGCTAGATGCGCTGACCCCTTACAGCTTTAAATGATTGGTGAGGGGTTGGTTATGTCTGGACTGACAATTAGAGGCAGACGAGATAAACATAGGCTGGGATACTATAGAGTGACATAGTTCTTTCCTGCCTTCCCACAGTAGCCCCTGAGACCTCCAAAATACTGATGCTGGAGACTGAAGGATTCTTGTGGACAAACAGCCGCAAGGTCCAGGGATGAGGGGCTGCCAGTTAAATTCCTTGCTTCAAGGAAGCACCATTGAAACAGGAAGGGAAGAGTGATCCCCCCCCCCAATTCCCTTTCCTTGCTATACCCCCCTTCTCAGGCCTTGGGCTTTTTGTCTGCATGTGGCCTGCATTCTCCAGCACCAGCATTTTATAAATTTTGGGGAAAGGCGGAGGATAGAAAGGGACAGTTTCCAGAGTATCCTTATACCCACACTCTATAGGATCCCAGCCATATTATTTTCTATAGCCATACTTAGATTTATTGCCACTGACAGAGGTGCATTTAATTAAGCCAGTTAGATTCCAATAACTAGGTTTCTGAGCTTTGTTAGTTACATTAAGACTAGACAACTTTGTAGGATTGACCTGTTAGTCCTGTGCATGTATTAGTCCTGTATTGTTTAGGATTGACCCTGTTAGTCCTGTATAGACAGTCTCACCGTTTAGTGAGAGAAGGAGGCTGGTTCACTTTGTGCATGTGGGGCATTGCCCTGACAGAATGGACAGTACTACTTCAGTCTGCATTTTGGAATGTTGTTAAGGAAAAAACTCCCTAAAAACAGCAAACCAACATAGCAAGCAAAGAGGAGAGGTAGAAACTCTCTCTCTACTGTACTAGTTTTCTGCTTATATGGAAATTTTTGAAGCCAAAGAACATGCAATACTAGAATGCACCACCTGCAGCCTCCAATAATGCAGTTCATTCTGCCTTCCCATTCTCCTGCATGTGTGAAGTGCACCAAACTTTTAATTAATCACTGAACATGCACAGTAGTTCAGAAGGCCATGCATGACAGCTTCCCCCCCCCAATCAATTTAAATGGTAAACTGAATGGACCTGTAAGACTAGTCTTACAATGTAATGCTGATAATACCTTCCATTAAAAAATTTCCCTTGGTAACAGGAATGGGTGTAAAATCAATTCATTACCTTCTCAGTTTGTGCTGTTCCTGATTGTTGTGTGGGCCAGAAACAAGCTGAAGATGCCTCTGTGTAGGAGACACAGATCTGTATTGAATTCAAGCTCTAACTGCCTACAGATCAAACTTCTGGAGTTTTAATCACATTAATATTTCACAATTATAGATGTCTCATAAATGTTCCTATTGATATATGCTTCTTTCTGTTCTGCCATGATCTTCTCAATAGCTATTCCAATATATTTTGTTTGAACAAGATATAAAGATGAGCCGTGTGTCAGAAATATATTAGGCAAGAAACTGCAAGTTTTTGTCATTCTTCTAGTCCTTCAAAGGCACTTTTGATGTTGAACTTGAGATCTCCTGCATCCATAGTATGCAGTTTACCACTGAGCAACAGCCTCTCCCAGTTGGAAAATTGCCAGTTCCCAGGTTGGGAAACAGCCCTTCAAAGAAAAATGCTCCATCTGGAACTGAGTACAAATCACAGCTGTATTAAATATGTCTATTGCTTGGCAGCCCCCACGACTATTTAACCATCTTTGTTTTATAGATGACTTCGATGAATTTAGGTCCACTAATGATGATGTTCTTCTCAGAAGTATTGCTGAAGATCTTCGACATTTTTTGCCCACTGATGGAATGCTTGCTTCTGAGCACTTCGCTATTCAAAAAGTAAGTTTTGTTCTTTCCATGTAGTAGTAAAAGTACCAGGTTATTTTGTGATTTGTGCTACCTAAAGCTTTGTTCTAATGCTGATTTGTGAATGAACTCAGTAAATCACTGTCACGACCTGTGCGGCAGAGGCATGATCTGTTTTCCACCTTTAGGGTTGCCAGGTCCCTTTTGCCAGGGGGACAGATCTCTGTTGTCCGGAGTTCAGTTGTAATTCTGGGGGATCTTCAGGTCCCCACCTGAAGACTGGCAAACCTTGGCCTAGCAGCACCCTTATTGGAATTTTTCAGATATATTCAGGATCCAGATTGATATTTGCGGATTTTCGGGGCTGGTGTTTTAAAGCTCCAGACTTAGTGGGGTGGTTGCTTTTGGCGGATTTCCTGGGCAACAGGAGGGAGGGGGGAGGGAAGTGGCTCTCTCAGGCAACTGAAATCACACATTAGGGGAGCTTGCCAGTGTGTGCCTGACACACACTGAGTCAACATTTTCAGTGAATTATCTACCATGACTCCAAGATCTCTGTCCTGGTCAGTTACCGTCAGTTCAGACCCTATCAACGTATATTTATATTTAGGATTTTTGGCTTCAGTGTGCATTACTTTGCACTTGCCCATGTTGAACCTCATTTGCCAAGCTGATGCTCACTCACCCAGGCTTGACAGATCACTCTGAAGCGCCTCACAGTCCTCCCTGGTTATCACTGCCCTGAACAACTTAGTGTCATCCACAAACTTAGCCACTTTACTGCTTACTCGCAACTCCAAATCATTAATGAACAAGTTAAAAAGCACCAGACCTAGTACCAAGCCCAGTGGTACTCCGCTGCTTACCACTTTCCACTGTGAAAACTGCCCGTTTATACTCTCTGTTTCCTGTTAATTAACCCGTTTTTAATCCACAAGAGGACTTGTCCTCTTATCCCATGACTGATGAGTTTACTTAGGAGCCTTTGATGAGGAACTTTATCAAAAGCTTTCTGGAAGTCTAGGTAAACAATATCTACTGGATCACCCTTGTCCACCTGTTTGTTTACCCCCCCCCAAAGAACTCTAAAAGTTTATTAAAACTCTAAAATACTCTTAAAGGCCGGCTGAATGGTATATAGCTTTTAAGAGTGTCTGCCTGTGACTAAGCCTTGTGGATGCAGCATTTGGTGCCAGAGAGTGCCCTGGAGAAGGGGGGGTCTGGAGTAATTCCCTCCCCCAAAGCTTTCATAGAGTAGTAGCCATCTACTCCACAACCTCTGGAGATCTCTTTGACTTTCTTTAAAACTTCATATCTTGCAAATGACAAAGATCCAGCCACCCAGAAGTAAGGCTCTGTGGAAGAGATGTTAGCCAAATTGCCTTAATTTATTAATAAATGTAGGTAATTATGAGTATTAAATGGCAATAGGCATTAAATATAAGATCAGAACCTGTGTATATGGGAGTTAGAGTTCCCAGGACCCAGGAAGAGATGCTGGATAGCTAAAATAGTGATTTCTTTACTAAAGGTTCTTCAAGCATACAAACAAAAATCAAGCATTCACACACACAATACAGAGTTAAGAATATAGAGTTGAAAGGATAGAAATATTTGCATGAGCAGGATTATTGTTGGTGGGGTAATACTTCACCTGTCTGATGAGATGCAAAAACTGGGACACAGTGAGGGGGAAGGGATCGTGAGTTGACCAGCAACACACGTGGACTGATTCCAAACAGGCCTAGATTTGGAACCTACAAGATAGGGTGGGGGTGGGATAGGCAACACCCAAGAGAGAGAGCAATGGCTGGATGCTCTCTTTTTATCCCTAAATTGTGACTTGGGGCAGTTGCCTGTTGTCACATGGTGCCCAGGAAATATTGACCAAAAACTTAAACTATGAATAGGGCAGAAAAGGGATTAATGGTTGGGCAATTGCAGGTAATGGCTTGGCTAGGAGTGACCCCTCTTAGGAGAATGGGAAATACAAAGGAGGCAAGGAAGAGAACCAATCAGGTTGCAGGACTGGCACTTTGGGTTAACAACCAGGTGCTTGACAGCTGCGTTATCTTGATGGGTGGCAGGAAGACTTGATGGCTCGTTGCTGTCATCATTGGGCACATCCTTTTGTTTTAGTCTGGAGAGGAATGCGTGCTTCTTTTAGTGATGTTAATACGTGGGGAATGCTGCGTAATGGAAGAGAGTATTGTTCATGGTATCTGTGCAGGAACATCTTGTCCTTTTTGCAGAATATGGCTTCCCTCTATGATCTGCTGCTGTTTCTGTGTGTATGGAGGTCAGGGAGTGTTTGTCTGCATTCTGGTACTGGCGATGCAGGAGCAAGAGGCTTCTTGTAGTCCATGGGTCCACATTTGGCTTGGCATGCTGCTTTAGGCACAAGGCTTCCCTTGGCTAAAGCACATTCCATAGTCCAATATAGGGGCACTTCTCTTGGACTACAGTTCTGTCCATTGCCCTGACATACTCTTTTCACATTTCAGCAAAGCAGTCATTTTGAGAGTCTTTAATAATGCCATCTGAAGTGGCTGCATGGCGACAGAGAGCTTCCCTGCCCCACAACAGCATTATAACTGTTTCCAGTTTTTAACTTTGAAACAGTGCCCAGTACATATTAGAAATCTTTGTAGAAAATCTTTTGAGGTGAATAGTAATCAATGGATATGGATTGTCATATGTATTTTTAGAACATTGGTTCAAGATCACCAGAAAAGTGACACATCTACTTTGTTGTGACTAAATGTATTGCTGAATATGATCTGTTTAAGTCCTAAAGTTTGGTGAACCATGAACAGTGCAGTCCTAAGCAGAGTTATCCTCTTTTAAATCCATTTAAGTCAGTAGGATTAAAAGGGCATAAGATTGCACCATATGACTTATTACTGCAAGTATGTAGTAGGAATCAACCTTAAGCATTTTGAACCCTTATGTGCAATACTAAAATAGCATATTAAAAATATTTGCTCAATATTTATGGTTTTTCTTCAGCTATATCAGCAAACAAAGCCCACTGTGCATATTGATGCATTCCTTTATGATGATGAAATTATTGATTCCTTATGTGAAGAAGGGAAGATGAGTAGAAACTACTGCCTAACTTGTGGTTCTCATCAGACAGCGCCATTAGGTAAGCATATGATGCACTCAGAAGTGTTTGTCTGCACAGTAGATCCAGGAGGGCTCCTGTATGTGATGGAGAATAAAGTGAAGCTGGAGTTTCCACTGCCTCAAATACAGTACATGCCAGTGCTAGGGTATACCCAAGCAGAGACTGTATTCCCTAGATCCAAATGACTTCTGAATTGGGATACACTCTGGAAGTTACCTCCTGTTATTGGGCACCGGAATGTGATGGAAACCAGTAAAATCGGTGCTTCTGCTATCAAAAGCAGTTGGAAGACTTAAGGAACTGGAGAATTGTTCATTCATTATAATGGATGGTAGTTGCCTTCCTCCAGTGTTAGAGAAAATCAGCAAATACATTGAACATAAAATGCATGCTTGCAGCTTTCCATTCTTCCCCAAAAATATATTGGTTAAAAAGCCTAAAGTAGTGGCATCCATAGTGTGGCCCATAGGCCACTACCAACCTGTGGACCCTTTTCATCCAGCAATCAATGAACTTAATAAACAAATGCAACAGAATTGAAGGCTGCCATGTACCCAGGTTGCTGAAATTCAATGAGAACTTTTCTACACTCATATCAACAATAAAACAGTGAAAGGTCACTAGTAAAAGATGAAATGACAATTCAGTTACAGTAATTGAAAAAAACAAACAAACTACGGAGCAGAACAGCAGCTGCTTCCAATTTCCAAATGGCTCTTTAATTATTGTTTTTGCCTGACATCTAAAAACAGCTAAAGATTATCATTTCACCTTAACAAACAAGTTCCTAAGTCAGGAAGCAACAAGAGATCAGGCTTTAATCTGTACCTCATTTTATACAGCACCATGTTGGAATTGTGTAATATAAAATGGTTTCAAACCATTTGTTTGATCTAGAAGCTGACGTGGGGATACAGGGGCTTGCTTTGCAGTGGCCTGTTTCCTTTCTCCAAGGTCGGGGACAAAGGGTGGCGCTAGGGGAACAGCAGTCCCGGAGGCACCTGCTTGAATGTGGAGTGCCTCAGGGGGCGGTGCTTTCCCCAATGCTTTTTAATATCTACATGCGCCCCCTTGCCCAGATTGCCCAGAGGTTTGGGCTGGGATGTCACCAGTACGCTGATGACACCCAGCTCTATCTGATGTTGGGCGGTTAGTCAGACTCCAGACCGGAAGATCTGGACTAGGCATTGCACGCTGTGGCTGGTTGGCTCAGGTTGTGTCAGCTGAAGCGAAACCCGGCGAAGACGGAGGTCCTGTGCCTGAGTCGGGGCAGTTCAGGGTTGGGGTTCCTGCTTCCGGCTTTCGACGGGGCGTCATTGGTGCCTGCGCCGGTGGTTATGAGTTTGGGAGTGCTCCTGGAACCCTCCCTGGCAGTGGAGGCCCAGGTAGCAGCCACTGCTAAGTTGGTCTTCTACGACCTGCGGTTGGTTC